TTAACAACATATACGAGGTCTTCATCCACTTCATGTCCATATCTTTTTTCATATAGCAAATGAAGTTTCTGTCAAAACATTTTCGAGAACAAATCAAGCATCAGTGTCAGAAATATTATGTGGATTCTAAGAAATCAAGCATCAATTTTTTTTTTCCAGTTGTCCTCATGCAATAGCAGTGACTGACATATTTCTAGGTGTGAAGAGGTCAGAAACGGAGCCATTCTGCTTTGAAGGTAAGTTTGCAGATGCTCTCATGGCAGTAAGTTAGTCCATCATGTAGTGCACAACATTTAGAACAATACCCAGCTCATTAGATTCTTACCTATAAAATTCGAGATCCATACAAAGATCTAATTTAGAGTTCACTTCCAAAAACCCCATTTTAGCCATGCATTCATTTTGTTGCGACAAATTTATTAAATAAATGGATAGGCATGTCATAATTCAACTCAACTTACAAAATCTTGTCCCAACTTGAATACATGATCTTGATTCACCATTGTGTCATATTATTTCTATAGATACAAAATATTCAATTTCTAAATTTTGTCGAAAGTTTCCCCTATGACGTACCGCAAGCTCCTAGTTCAACATTACCGTTCAAACTAAACGAGAAAACTTTGGTCAATTGGAGCCAGCAGAGGTTTGACAAGTGCCTACTCATGCATCTATTTTTTTTTCGAGCAAAAAAAAAAAAAAAACATTAAAAGGGCACTCAAGTTGACACAACAAAACATAGCTTGACACGGGAAGCAAGACCTCGCACTGTACAAACGCAACATACTCACAAGGATTTGGGAGTGATCACTGACATTAATTAAAAATCCAAGAAGTAGAACAATGAATATGAATTCATAAATCTCAACTGGAATGCCCGCTAATCTCAGGCTGCCCCAACAAGAATAGTTATTCAACGAAATAGTGTAATGGCCGTATAAAAACATGTTTGATCCAGGTCTATTATTGGCTAATATTCCAACCCCATCAAGAATTTGCTATTAGGCCCTTCTTGTAGACAACCCAATTTGACCTTTTGATCAATCTATTAAGAATTCACAACAGATACAAATAGACCACCGATTGAACCCAGAACCCATAACAAAGAAAAATATCCAAAATTAAAAAGCATGAAGAATGAATTTACCCTTAGAACCATTCTGTCTTCTGGTTTGTTGAGGCTTCCTTCAATAGTGCATTGTGGCATCCACAATCCACATTGCTCTAACTGGTTCAAGTAATTTCATAATCAAAATATGGATCACATTTCTAACAATTTAGCACAAATTTCGAATATTTTACAGGTATCTGGACATTTAATCACGGGAAAAAGTCATACAAACATCGAATTGAATGATGCGATGAAGGAAGCACCTGGACATGGAGGCTAGACCTCCTGTCTATGGAGAGATTTCTATTTGACGTATTCAAACACAAAATGGGAGTGCCTTCTGGGTCAACGGCAAATCGAACACCGATACCCAGAGGCCAACCGTCTTGGGTCAAAGTAGAAAGAGTACCCACAGAAGCCAACTCCATGATTGTCCTTGAAATCTCAGCTGGGAATGGTTTGGCATTAGTCGTTGTTTGCAAATGGGTGGGCTCTGAAACCCCAGAAATCGAACATCTCGGAGACAGAACCAAAGATTTGCAAAACGGGTTTGCATTTGAAGGGTAGAAATGGGTCCTGATTATGGGTTTAGAGAAAGAAAGTGACGGCTTTGAGAAATGGGTGATGGGGAGGACTGAAGGTGGAAAGTGGGTGGTGAGAGATTGGGCTTGTGGAAGCATATCAATGTGCGTAGATCAATTGAAATTGAGGTTTTCAAGTTTCCTCTTTTAGTTGCAGATATTGGGAAGGACTTCAGGAGCTCGATCGAGACAGAGGCAGTAGTTACAGTTCGTAGGAACAGTGCTGGAGGACGATGTTGATAACAAGTTGGGACAGAAATGTCGTGGTTGTAGCATATTAAGTTGTTTCTGGTTTCCCCCCACCGTTGATATCATACCATTTTGATTTAGTCAACGCCAAGGGTCTCGTTTTAAGAGAAAACTACATAAATGACCCTTAAACTATGTCTCTTACGTCAATTAAGTCTCTGAGTTAATTTGTGTTAATTGAGTCCCGAAACTCTAAAATTTTAGCAATTAAGTCCTTAAATTAATTTTTAGGTCAATTAAGCCCCTAAATTAATTTTTATAAACTCTAAAATTTTAACAGTTAAATTTTTCTATCAGCAACCGTTAGATTTTTGGACAAAATGTCTCACGTGCTTATCCAGTGGACAACAGATTAGGAATATTTTAAATTTTTTGTTCGAAACCTATAAGACAAAGAACCTCATTCCTTGTACCCATCAATTGAAACTCTAAACTTAAACCTCTTTTTTACTCATCGAATCAAACAAAGCAAATCAACGAACTCTTCGAAAAGCCTACATTTATGTAATCTGTTTTCTACACTAGATCAAAGAGCTTGTTGATCTGCTTCATTTGATGGGTATGAACGAAGTTTAGGTTTAGGATTTCGGTTGATAGGTATAAAGAACATGATTCTTCATCTAATACGTTTCAAACGAACAGTTTAAAATACTCTTAATTGTTGTTTATGTGGTAAGCACGTGAGACATTTTGTTCAATAGAGTTTAGTGTTTCACTTAACACAAAAATTAATTCATGAACATAATTGCTAAAATTTTAGAATTTGGGAGCTCGATTGCCATAAAAATTAGTTCAAGAATTTAATTAAGACAAGTGACATAGTTTAAAGACCATTTGTGCAATTTATTCTTTTCTTGATCGATGTCATTTTTTTATCAATGGCACCTTTGCAGTTACCAGAGAGGATCCTCACCCCAATGCCAGCGGGCTTAATGAGGAAAACAATTGAATTTTGACTTAATATTTAATTTACTGAAATTATAATTAGCATAGTCTTATAACACTATTATAATTGCAACCCCTATATTTTTCTGTTATTACATCAGTCACACATTATCAAGTGACGATTTCGGGTCAGATCATTTAGATCCTAAAATATTTATCAAAATTGCTGCAAAAAAATAAAAAAAAATAGATCCCAATGGTAAGTACTTTATTATTATAAGTGAAATAATAAAATAACTTTTAGTCTATCTCCCCTTAAGAGTTAGTAATAGACCCCAATTAGATGAAGGTAATTGTGGTTGGAAATATATACTGGAACCCTAAACCCATTGATCACCCTGTTTGGAAAACCATTTTGGTGGGGAGGTTTTTCTTTTCTTTTTTTTCTTTTTTGGTGTTAAGGGAGAAATTGCATCAGTAATGTTAAGGTGAACTTGAGATTACCTTGACCTTTTATCCTATTTGGATAACCATTTTGACAGAAATTTCAATTGGACTACGATTACCATGATTATCACCATACAAACAAAGCTTTTGAATACCCTAATCTGTACATAGATGCTTACCTTTGACGAAACGATAGAAAAAATTAGTCAAAATGTGCGTTAACTGGTCCAGACAGACACTCCTTACAGTTGAACCCACAAAAAAAAAGGTATATAATACAGCTAAGTGTAATGAAAATGAGGTTTTTTTTTCCCTCATATGCAAGAACAATTTGAAGAAGAAATCTTCTCGCATAAACCTACTCAAAGCATTCAACAATTTAAACATAGTTTTTCTTTCCCTGAACAACCAATTTAAACACAGTTGATTAGCACCTTCTATCACAGGCTGGGGATGACCCCTCGACCATAAAGATTACATCACCTCATTTTTCATCAATCTTATCGTACAAATAGGAGATCCTATTAAAAGTGGACGATTTTTACACGCAGTATGGCCTTAAGACGACAGGCAAATCTGTTCTTTTTGTGGAGCAGATGAGGCTCAAACCAGCCAGGATAAGCACCTATGTTAAACCTACATGAGGCTCAATTTAGAAAAGCAAAGCCTTCTCCCATCTTTTCCCTCTCCCCTCGGCAGCTGAAAACTACTTCTGTATCGATGAGTTCACACAACCAAGATTAGAACAGCATTCTGAAAAGGGACACGTTTATTCTGTATCATTCACTGATGTTCGCCTGACAGGTTATAATCCTTCACCATCAAGATCTCATCACATAACTTTTTAGGTACTTGCTGCAATGCTTCTCCTTCTTGCCATGCTTGCCCCACCAATACCCCTGGTCCCAGATGACGAATGTATATGACAACCTGATCATTGAAAGGCCATGGATGTTTTGCTGCAATTAAAAAAAATGGTAACAACTAATTAACGCTGCTTACAAACTAGAATGCAATTATGCAACTCTTTCACACAGGAAAATAAACAAATGCCTTTGAACAAACTAATCACAATCCTGCTCATAGTAGCAGACATGCCACAATTGGTTGACTTTTTTTTTTTGGGGGGGGGGGGGAGCCAGCTTCATCTTTTTAAGAGAAAACATCACAGTCGTACTCTTTTGGAAAACACCAATTAACCTTAAAACATAGTAACAAGTTCTGGAAGAACGAGGAGAGACATTGCAAGTCATGAGAGCAGAATTGTGACTCAGTAATAATAAGACAAACATAAAAGGGGACAAAAAATTATACTGTTTTGAGTTGCGAACTCTGATGACTTAAAAAGATGTGAAAAGCACTTAATTCCTAAATCATCCAAGCACTTGCTCATGCTTGCATTAAAGAACACCTGATAAGAGTCAATAGAGAACATCTGAATGAAATTAACTAGCAGGGATCGACCTAGAAATGTATCGATTGATAGGAAAAGAGAAAGAAGAAGGGATGCAATGAATAATAGTGTAACTACAAAGTAATGACCTATATATGTCTCCAATGTTAGGGTAGCCAGAATACATAATATGAAAGTCATCTTTCAAATTTAGCATGTTGCATTAAACAATTTTGGAACTGCCCCCCACCTGCTTTTGGAAAGCCTTGTGGATAGTCATGGAGATCCAAGAGCCCATCCCCAAATTCATATGCTAAATCACAAGGCTGCTCAGTTGGCATTACTTCATTGAGTTGTCTCACCATAAAATATAATGGATATAAAGAATTTGAAATTCCAGCCAGAACTGATTCATCTGAATATTTTAAGCGACATATTAGACCGAGGAATAGTTCCTAATACATTTAACTTGCAAGCAAGCCTGGAGCATACTTAGAGATTTAACTTACCAATAACCCGTCCATATGTCTTTCCATCCTTACCGCAAAACAGAGCCTGGTGGATACTCAATTTTACAAAAAAGAAAATAAAATGGAAAGAATAACAACTATGGTACCAAGGACTTCATTGAGAGGCAGAGACTTAACCTTCTTGAAGAAATTTATCCAGGCAATACTCATTGGCCCTATTTTACAATGTTCAAATGTCATAAGATTTCCAAAAATTATATCACTAAAACATTAATCTTTTAACAATTAGGCGGCAACACTTCAAGAGATTCAATGCATAAGGAAAAAAAAGAAATCAGCAGGAAATAAAGAGCATGATATAAAAGCTTACTAATCAATAGTTAAAGATAATTAACAAATAGTTTACACATGCTTCCAATTTTATTGTAAAAATAGGTTTGCCACACTTAGTTTACTCCTGTTCAATTTATTTTTGACACCAAAACTGAGTGAACAAATATTTTGCCATTTATCCTTCCAAAATCAAGTTTCTCTTGTATTATAAGTCATTTTCTCCATACATCAACAAAGTTGAAGGTGCCTTTGCCTCTTTAATCTAGCTATAACCATAAGGCTTGATTTTAATTCTACAGGATTTCTGAATAACATCCATTTTCTTTCTTTTGATTAACAATAACCGAACCTCGGCAATGTCAACCGCTCAAAACAACTCAAAAATTCATCATCTGGGCGTTATCTATTGATCCATCCTAATCTATGCCATTAAATTGTTTAATAGCAATAGGGCAATGATTATTGCATTATTGGAATTCTCTTTTAATGAGCAAATCCTGACTGGAAAATCATGTTTCTCACACCTTTTGCGGAGCCGGGGTTCAAACCCCATTAACTAAAACTTAACAATAAAAACACTCATGAAAGCTATTAGTCAATTTAGAGGTAATCTTCTTCTAAACTATTTTTCCATTCAGAAGAAAAAGTTAGGTTTTATATTATGTTCCTACCCTTCACATGACCATATTATTACAAATGTCATTTTCCCCAGCAACTTGACTAAGTGAATTTCCAGGATAATTAAACATTGCCTGACCCTTCCTATTGATTTGACATGAATGATTTTTCAAAAGATTATAAATCACTAAAGATATCTTACACCAATTATGAACCATGGCTTGCTTCCTTTTTGTGTGCTACTTTTACACAACATACTATAATTAGCATTATTATTAGCATCTATTAAAAAAAAGACAGAAAAGAAAGATAAACATTATGAAGTTTTGTGTGGATGTTGAAATGTTTAATAGTACAATTCCTGAAGTAGGCAATCACAACATCCAACGATTCAAACAATAATAATACTGGTACACTGAGGGGAAAAATACAGCAAAGTTCCTACTTATTCTTGACAGAAATTTGTCCCTCCTATATAAAAATAAATAAAAATCTAACCCAAATCTAGAATGAATTTACACATGGTTCTTAGCTATTTTAGTTCATGGCTAATCTAAATTGAGGTACCTCCACTTGTTCGGCAATTCCAAAATTCAAGTGACTTAACACCATCTCCATTAGACAGCAAGTTAGATGCACTTTTCTTTGCTAACTTGGTATCCTCATACCGTGTGCCAGCTATCTCCCAAGCTCTTGATATAAGCCTGAATCAAAACATAAATAAAAAGACTTGAAGACTGTTATAGTACCTTCAACAGCTTAACATTTCATATGCACACTTGAGAAAGTAAACAAAGCAATCACCTCAGTAAGACATAGGGTGTACATGCAGCATACATGCAAAATGCAAATTTCCAAAACAATTAAATACCCTTCAAAAGCAGCCGCCAAAAGACGAGGTTTCAATTACAGAATACTTGGAGAGGATAATATTATGCTTCTATCTTCGTTGCTGGCTAATATAGATATTCGAAACTAGTTCCATCATCTGCTCATTCTTGTGGTGTTGGTTAATCAATGATGTAATCAAATAAAAACTAGTTAAGTTTTCTAATTAATATTTAGAATGTCCAAGACATCTCAATCTCTTTAAATGTTGAATAAGGGAAATTAGGCACTTGGACAATTCTACTATCTCCTATGTACTGAAATTTTCGGATTTGATGGATCTAACATTTAAACATACACCAGCACCACATCCATACTCAACACTACTTACCTTGGACTATTATACTGCAACTAGAAATAAAGGTTAAGAGCACAGGAATAGTAATTGATGGGACATTTCCAGACACTCCCAGATGATGACACGTGTACTCGGCGTCAATGGAGCCTCTCGCTGTGGTACCGACACGTCTTCGTCGGTTTCTAATCCCTTACCCCGAGGGATACTATTCACAGGGATCAAGGATCCCCAAACCACCATGGACCGACACGTATTCCTCAGTAATTTGGATACATCGGTCCTAAGTCATGCTAAGTCCCTCGGCACCGAGGGGTTATCTGTCCGCGTGGGCGATTCTGCACATGCAGGGCCTATTGATGGACAGATCACTAGCCTAGGCAAGGCTAGACTAGCCATCATGACCTCGTCTTACTCAAATGGTGTCAGGAGGCACAAGGAAGCAGAAGGCTCAACCAAAGGGGAATGGGCACGTGGCGTATTGTGTCAGATCAGAGATGAAAATACCAGAATGCCCTTGCTGACAAACGACTTAGGAAAGCAAGTCTTAAATGCACCCTTCCTTTGATGAGACAACATTAAATGCGTGAGAGCTCGGAAGTGAAAGGTAATAAATGTACCAAAGCCTGGGCATTTAATATACCCCCGCCAAGAGAGATCATTAAACACTCAGCAGACCGAGGAGGGAGCATTAGTTGCTCGGGGTCCCGAGCAGTAAAGAATAAGACCATTACTCATAGAGATTGGTGTGCACGCTGCCCACCCCCAATGATTACCTACTGGCTACGCTGTCAGTAATGATGAGTTTTTAAAGTATAAATAGTCATCACCAACGCAGAAAAGAGGTATGCAATAAACCCTCTCTCAACCTCATACAGTATTTTCTTCTTCCCCTCTCTCAAAGCACTGACTTGATCGTCGGAGGGGATACGCCGGAAAAACACTCTGACGCCCTTCTAACTTGTTTTTCTTTGTTCCAGGAACCTCCCTCAGCCTTACCGGACCGCTCCGTTGATCCACGAAAGTCACCCATTACAGTTCCAGGCCACCACCAGACCTCGCAATCTGTTCCAAGTAGCAAGATCGACCATCCGATTGACGAACGCGTGTTCACCACAGAAGAGATCTGTTCTAGTGTTTATATTGTGCAAGATCCTGCACGCACAATCTGGCACCGTCTGTGGGAAACGACTAGTTTTCCTAGTTTTTTCTCTAAAAAGGACAGTGACCATGGTGAATACTCGACACAAGGGGAAAGGTCCTCAGCAAAGAAGTCTCAATTTGCAAGCTCCTCGCCGTGATGGAGGGAAGGGTCACGCTGATGACAACATAAATGTCTCTGTTCAGTCAAGGGGGCTTACCCCTCAAACCAGTATGGGCATCAGGTCAGGAGAATCCGCCCCCTTGGCTCGTCAACTGGCAGAGGTGATCGAAGAAAAGTTTGGGGATCGATTACGACAGTTGGAAAAAGACAATGTGAACGTCCTAAGCCGGCTAAACGAATTCGCCGCCTCCGGCGAAGGGTCGAGGGACTCGTTCCCTTCTCGTGGACTCCCCGCCCGAGAAGCAGAAACTGAGGACCTGAGAAATCATTTAAATAACAAGGCTGAAGGCTCCAGGGCCTCGAAACGCCCAAGAGCCAACGAACACCCCCTCGACGACTATTCCAGGAAGGCAAGGCCTTTAGCCCTGGACGACCTCCGGCGAGGGCTGTCAAGGCGGAGGAAGGGAGACGAGTCCGAGGAGGATTCAACCCTTTCCACGCGACGCCCGGAAAAGGGGAACCCTATCAAAGAACCCGGAGACCTCAGAAGACATCCCGTTAGGGAGGAAATTGATCTCAGAGCTCGGTTGAAATCCAGGAGAAAGGGTAAGGCTGTCCAGGATAATGTTGAAGACGAGGTCATACAATTACCCTTTACCAGGGATATCGGAGAGATGGAGGTTCCAAAAAAGTTCGTCATGCCGAGGTTCAAAACTTACAATGGTCGGTCCGATCCCCAAGCCCACCTCAGGCAATACAAGCAAATGATGTCCCTGTATCATTCAGACCAACGGTTCCTCTGCCGAGTGTTTTCCATGAGTTTGGGGGACTCCGCGATGAAGTGGTTCGAGGCTCTTCCCCCCAACAGCATTGGATCATGGAAAGAGTTGACGAGGCAGTTCGTAGCCCGATTCATTACGGGGAGTAAGCGGCCTAAAGACGTTAGATCATTACTAATGCTCAGACGAAGGGAATCCGAGACCCTTCGCCAGTACGCCACCCGGTACTGGGAAGAGGTTAATGAGGTAGAGGGCTGCTCGGAAGTCATGGCAGCGGCGTCTTTCAGGCTCGACTTGGCAAGGGACACAGACCTGTACCAATCCCTGACCAAAAAAACTCCCTCAGATATGGGCGAGCTGATGGCCCGAATAAACAAATACTCTAGGATCGAGGATGAAATAGGAAGCAGCAAAGGTAGAACTCTCCCACCTAGGAGAAAAGAGAAAGAAGCGGGGGACATCTCCCGAAAGGGGCTGGTACCCCCTCCAGGGGGGTCATTTAGAGGTGTCCACACTGTCTTCAAAGAACCCATCTAAAGGTTACTCCATAGAATCAAACATGAGTCATTCTTCAAGTGGCCGCCTAGGATGCAGAGTGATCCTTCCACCCGTGATCAAAGGATCAAATGTTCCTATCACCAGGATTTCGGTCATCGCACCGAAAATTGCAGGGTATGCAAGTCTTTCTTGGAAGGGTTGGTCCAGGACGGCTACTTAAAAGAATACATCGAGGCCAAGACAAAAGAGAGGCGCGGTCCTGGACCAGCCGTGGAGCAAGACAATGTCATAGACATGATCCATGTATGTTCACTGGATCGCCCGACATCCAAAAAGCTTGAGTCCGATCTCAAGAGAGTAGCATTTACGAGAAAGATTGCCGAGAGTGATGGGGGGCCGCCTAGCAAAAGGACCAGGATTGCCGAGCCGAGCATCACGTTCTCCAACGCGGACTTGGCGGGCGTGGTGACTCCCCATAACGACGCCCTGATAATAACCCTGAAGATAGGCAAGTTCGACGTCAAGAGGGTGTTGGTGGACTCCGGGAGTTCCTCGGAAGTGATGTACTCAGATACTTTAAAACGGATGAGTTTCGGCCTCCAGAATCTTACCAAGGTCAGGATGCCTCTCGTCGAATTTAACGGCTCATTCGCCTTGCCCATAGGCAAAATCACATTGCCAGTTGTCACAGGTCCCTTCACCATCAATACGGAGTTTGTGGTGATCGATACGGACTCTTCCTATAATGTGATCATGGGACGAACATGGTTGCATGCCCTGGAAGCGGTACACTCCACTTATCACCAAAAATTAAAATTTATTACGCCAGAAGGGATCATGGAGATCTGAGGGGATCAAGCATCCGCGAAGAACTGTTTTTACTCGGCTGTAAAAGCGGGGGTTTACACCCAAGAGAAGGAGCGCCCTCAGGAAGAGATCCTGGAAAAATAGCAATCACAGTCCAGGCGTCCAGGAATGGATGACCCCTGGATTGACCCAACGGAACGGTCGGTGGAGGACCTCCGAAAGGTGCCCTTGGTGGAGGGAGAAGAGGAAAGGTACTTCTTGGTTGGAACCGCGATGCCCACAGCGGAACAGGAGGAGATGGTTGACTTCTTGAGGGAAAATGCAGACGTGTTCGCTTGGAACGCAATGGATATGAAGGGAGTGGATCCCGAAATTATCACCCACAAGCTGCATGTTGACCTGGCGCACAAGCCAGTAAAGCAGAAGCCACGACGTATGGCGCCGCACCACGCCCGAGCGGTCAACGAAGAGATCGATAAACTCCTAGAGGCCAATGTCATCCGGGAGGTACAGTTCCCGAAATGGCTGTCTAACACGGTCTGCGCGAAAAAAAAAGGGGGAAAATAGCACGTCTGCGTAGACTTCACTGATCTAAACAAGGCATGTCCCAAGGACGACTACCCCCTGCCAAAGATGGACCAGTTAGTAGATGTCACTACCAGATATCAGCGCATGTACTTCTTGGATGCCCGAGCAGGATATCACCAGATCTCTCTCCATCCCCCAGATCAAGAAAAGATGGCGTTTATCATTCCAAGGGGAGTTTACTGTTACAAAGTGATGCCGTTTGGGCTGAAGAACGCCGGGGCAACATACCAAAGACTAATGAATCGGATATTCAAAAAACAGATCGGCAACACCATAGAGGTCTACATTGATGATATGTTGGTGAAGAGCAAACGAAGCTGTGACCACCTGGTAGATTTGGCGGATACCTTCTCCACCCTCAGGGAGTACGGGCTGAAGTTGAACGCCACAAAGTATGTTTTTGGAGTGGAGTCGGGTAAATTTCTCGGATATCTGGTAAGTCAGCGAGGAGTCGAAGCTAACCCAGATCAGATTCAAGCGATCCTAGACATCCGGAACCCCCGAACTGTCCGAGAAGTCCAAAAGCTCACGGGGATATCGGCAGCACTTAACCGTTTCGTCTCGTGCTCCTCAGACAAATACAAACCCTTTTTTGGAGCCATCAATGGGGCTGGGAAGGACATGTGGAGCCAGGGGTGCGAAGACGCCCTGGCAAGAATCAAGGAATACCTCAGGACTCTCCCGACCCTATCCGTCCCTATCCAGGGGAAAATGCTCTTC